ACAGATGACAGTAGACTCAACAGGAAACTCTTGGACAAATTACACAACAGCCATTTATTTTAAAAAACAAGCTCAAAAGTTTTCCTGAGGTTTGGCTAAAATCACAGATATGGCTTTGAGGAAGACCAGACCCCTCAGCTAATAATAGCTCACTGTAAACCAGCCAGAGCAAGTGTTACACAATCAGATGACCAGTGTGTGTCTGACTAATCAGATGCTTCGACAAAACATCACACCACTAGTTTCTCCTTTCATTTTAACTCTTGACAACGAGGAAAAGTTTATCATTGGAATATATGGGTTAAGAGGTTGTGTATGAAACAGAGCAGGAGTAATGAATGCAGACACTGAGGAAGAAATTAGCAGCAGATCTGTCACTTTAACTTATTAATGTTCCCTGTCAGTCTTTTGATTAGTCCCATCAATTCTGATTACTTGAAAGCTGTTAAGTGTCTCACATGTGTGTATTACTGAGTTCTGGCTGCAGAGTCAAACCTAAGAGCCCCCAGGAGACTGACATTTCCTATATGTTGCGCACTCAACCCTTTGTTTTCAGTTCTTTCGTCCATACAACGTGCCACACATCAGAGATCAGCTGACCAACACACATATAATTGACATGTACACACATGTGATGATCTGTGTATCAGTGTCACTGTAAACACTGTCACTGTCTGATCAGCTGTTGCTGCAGTCAGGTCACACCCCTCTCAGCACGACGCAGACAGAAAGAAAGCAGGATGCTGATTTGAACCATAAACACAACATTAAGATCCTGTGTGGATCAACACATCCAGGCCTGTGTTTCTCACCTCACTCAAAAGGTAGGATATAGAGACAAACTGGAGACTGAACAACAAATGACAACAAATAATATATCTTATTCCTCTGTGCCACAGAGTTCAATTATTGTATATAAGTCAAATATACATCAATGAGCCACAGCCACACTAGTTTATTTTCGACTCAGTCCCACATAAACCCTCCTACTGTTGTAAATACTCACTAGCGTATTGAGTATTGTTTTTGTATTTACAATTGTTTTTTCACCCTGAGCACCAACCAGAGAAAGCTTGTTGCCACTCAAGCTGACAGCTGAAGAACAAGGTAGATGTGTGTGCATGACACAATCTGTCAGAGACAACAATACAATGAATATCATCACCTCGTCCCTTACAACTCATACTGTGATACAAATGGACACCCTCACTGAGCCTTTTTTTAAAATGAGACCATATGTATGTGATTTTTTACGGTTCGACCTTTTTGTACATCATAGGATCCAACGGGTTTGGGACAGAGTGCCACAGAATGTGTAAGGAAGTCGTAAAGTGCTGAGAGAAATCTTTTGATGGGATTTGTCAACATTAAGAAAACTACAAAACATCACCAGCCTTATCCTTTGTTTTGCTCAAATGCACATCAGCAGTGGGTTAGGGGAGAGCAGATACTGTAATTCAATCACCCCCACACACATGTATTAAGGGATGAATGAATAAAGCTTGAAGTAGCAAAGTTATTGTCATAAGAATTAAAATCTATTCCACAGGTCTTTCTATAATTTTGAGATGAAAATTAAGAATCTGAATGGAAGAGAACAACGTGATGAATAAGTGTAATAGTGGAAAAACTTGACAAACATCAATGTGTGTATCAAAATTTGTAAACTTCTGAATCTGGAAAAAAAGAAAATACATATAGAAGAGCTGATGATGTGCCTGGGTTTTCATATACTTTGGTCTATTTACACAGTAGCTCCACGATTCATCACGCACTCACAATCTGACATGCCCCAAACTCATACAGTCTCACAGAGATTTTATTGGACCCAACTTGCACAGTATAACATGCAATAAACTTCTGCGATAGGTGCACTGCCTAAAGGCACCTTAAACCGTCCAGGTACACTCAGAAATAAAACACACACAGACACTCAGTGAGCTCAAGAGAACACAGGAGGGATCTCTCTCTCTCTCTCTCTCTCCCAGTCTAAACACAATCCTCAGATACTAAACAGACTCAACAGACCTGCTGCTGCCAAGACTGAGGGTGAGACACAGGGGGGGGGGGAGTTTAGTCAAGATAAACTCTGCAAGAGGATTCCCAGTCTTCTGCGATACTCCTGATGTTAATCTGAATATGAAATGATATGGGACAGAGTGAAATTAGCCGCGCGGTAACCATGCCAACCATCCTATCAAGCCCCTTCTCGTCTCCACAGCAATCCTACATTACAACAACCTGTCTGTGTAGCCATTTGAACAAACGCCTCAGTCTGCAGATACAGAAATCGTTCAGATGAAGATCTGCACAGGGGCAGAGACTGAACAGCAAAATCTGTTTGAGATTACAGACAATTTGGGTTTAAAGTACAAACAAGCTGGACTGATCCATTTATAAATGTAGCAGTGTTTTTGTTTCACAGAGAGACGCTCCTTTTTCCCCGTTTAATTCATACCTTTGTGTCGTCCCACTGCACTGCACTATCAACAAGTGCTCT